CCTCGAAAGTGGAGACAGTTTCACAGATCGCAGCCCCCCAGGGATGGCGAGGTCTAATTTGACTCTGCGGTGTGTACCCACTGTGCTGGGCCCCCCAGCAGCCCTCGAAAGTGGCGACAGTTTCACAGATCGCAGCCCCCCAGGGATGGCGAGGTCCCATTTGAGTCTGCGGTGAGTACCCACTGTGCTGGGCCCCTCAGCAGGCCTCGAAAGTGGCGACAGTTTCACAGATCGCAGCCCCCCAGGGATGGCGAGGTCCCATTTGAGTCTGCCGTGAGTACCCACTGCGCTGGGCCCCCCAGCAGGCCTCGAAAGTGGCGACAGTTTCACAGATCGCAGCCCCCCAGGGATGGCGAGGTCTAATTTAAATTTGCGGTGGGTACCCACTGTGTTGGGCCCCATCAGCAGCCCTCGGAAGTGGGGACAGTTTCACAGATCGCAGCCCCCCAGGGATGGCGAGGTCTAATTTGAGTCCGCCGTGTGTACCCTCTGTGCTGGGCCCCCCAGCAGGCCTCGAAAGTGGCAACAGTTTCACAGATCGCAGCCCCCCAGGGATGGCCAGAACTAATTTGAATCCGCGGTGGGTGCCCACTGCGCTGGGCCCCCCAGCAGGCCTCGAAAGTGACGACAGTTTCACAGATCGCAGCCCCCCAGGGATGGCGAGGTCTAATTTGAGTCCGCGGTGAGTGCCCACTGTGCTGGGCCCCCCAGCAGGCCTCGAAAGTGACGACAGTTTCACAGATCGCAACCCCCCAGGGATGGTCAGGTCTAATTTGAATCCGCGGTCGGTGCCCACTGTGCTGGGCCCCCCAGCAGGCTTTAAAGGCGGCGACAGTTTCACAGATCGCAGCCCCCCAGGGATGGCGAGGTCTAATTTGAGTCCGCGGTGGGTACCCACTGTGCTGAGCCCCCCAGCAGGCCTCGAAAGTGGCGACAGTTTCACAGATCGCAGCCCCCCAGGGATGGCGATGTCTAATTTGAGTCCGCGGTGTGTACCCACTGTGGTGGGCACCCCAGCAGGCCTCGAAAGTGGCGACAGATCGCAGATCGCAGCCCCCCAGGGATGGCCAGAACTAATTTGAATCCGCGGTGGGTGCCCACTGCGCTGGGCCGCCCAGCAGGCCTCGAAAGTGGCGACACTTTCACAGATCGCAGCCCCCCAGGGATGGCGAGGTCGAATTTGAGTCCGCGGTGTGTACCCACTGCTGGGCCCCCCAGCAGGCCTCGAAAGTGGCGACAGTTTCACAGATCGCAACCCCCCAGGGATGGCGAGGTCTAATTTGAATCCGCCGTGTGTACCCACTGTGCTGGGCCCCCCAGCAGGCCTCGAAAGTGGCGACAGTTTCACAGATCGCAGCCCCCCAGGGATGGCGAGGTCTAATTTGAATCCGCGGTGTGTACCCACTGTGCTGGGCCCCCCAGCAGGCCTCGAAAGTGGCGACAGTTTCACAGATCGCAGCCCCCCAGGGATGGCGAGGTCTAATTTGAGTCCGCCGTGTGTACCCTCTGTGCTGGGCCCCCCAGCAGGCTTCGAAAGTGGCGACAGTTTCGCAGATCGCAGCCCCCCAGCTGGCACGCGGCGACGAGCGAGGCAAAAGGCAGGGGGGAAGAGAGGGGCGGGAGGGGGCGGGAAGGAGACGCGCGAGCAGTGCTCTATTCAAAACGAGAACCCAACGCAGGAGGGTCGGGAATAAAAAGATTCCCTCTAGTTGTTGTTTCATATGTTCTGGGTTTCTGTCTTCCCCCCCCCACTTCCCAGATTTTCGCATATTTTCTGGGAATCTACGAATAATGGTGTCTGTGTCCCCCCCCCCCCCCCCTGAGTTCTCAAGTACAAGGGCGCTCAAGCCTGAGAGCGACCCCGAGCCGTGCAGGACGGCGGCGAATGGCAAAATAAGTAAAGAAACGCAGCGGAAATAACAATCTCGTCCTGCTGCGAGAACCCGCCTTTGCAACGGCCGCTAGCAGGTTGACCTCATCGTGTCCTTCTGTGTTTCGTGGCCCCCTCCCTCTGGCGAAGGCCCACTCCTTGCGATTGAAAAATGCCGACCTGATCATGAACTGCTCGAGCGCCCCGGTCCGCAAACAAGCGAGCACTGCGGCTTCCTTGGCGCGAGAGCGGGCCCCAGTTGCCGGTGTTGTCTCCTTCGCGCGGGCCACGCAGTCGATCGTTGACTTCCTGGCCTCCGAAGGTGGCAGGGGCACCTGCGCCACCGTCCATCAGGTCGTTGGCTGCATCATCCCCGCCTTCGGCGCAGTCGCCCACCTGTGGCGGGCTCTGCAGCAGCCCGTCGCGCCAGAGGTGGGCGCGGCAAGCCTTGCCAACGTGCGCCGTGGCAGCCCTGTGTTCTCGGGCCTTCGCTCGCCTGGGTTATGCTTGGAAGGTGTTCTCACTCCGTGCTCTTCCAGATGCGCGGCTCGGCGGTTCCGTCGACGCTCGGTTCCTGAAGTCGCCGACGGAGCGTCCGAACACAGCAAAGGGCCCCCCGTGGAGCAGAGA